TCACGCTTTCTGCTCCGCGATTCGTTGTGCGGCGTTCGTATCGGTTAGTGCCGCACTCGCAATGACTGCAGAGCAGCAATAGGATGCTCCGCATTCGCCGTGTCTTACGTTTACGATTTCGTAAATGACTCTAATGTCCACAGCACGGGAATTCGAACGTAATCTAACGACAATCCATGAGCGAATAAGCAAAATCGATAACTGTTCGTCACGTGTACGCGCGACCGCCTCGCCCTGTCGTACCTCGGGATCCTCGCGTCGCCGTGTATGCGCGGCACGGGCGACCTTTGGTTGCTGCTATGGTGCCTGGAACGCGTCTCCCACTGGTGTGTTTACCGCTCCCAAAAAAGTGGTCCCTCGATTTCCGCCTGATGACGTCATAGAAGTGTCATGCTGTCGCCGTTCGCGAACCTGGCGGCGCCTCAGTAGCTGTGATGGATATGGCAGACGGCTGTTCTGCTGCAGGTCGCTCCCCACTGTGACAGTCCACGGAAGCTACAGCAGCCGAAAGATGGGACGCCGTGACGACAGCGACACTCGCGTTCGCTCGCGCTTTTCGGCTGCATTTCTACGGCCAACCGCCAGGATCGCGACAGTCAACAACATGACACTCCGGCTCTTGTGACGTCATTAATTGCCACTTGGGGACCACTTTTGATGTATGGGCAGCAAAGGACGCTAAACACACCAGTCGGAGACGCGATCCGGGCACCATAGTTGGTGGTCAGTGTGGGCGAGACACGGGTCGCAAGCACCGAAAGCCAGCCGTTCCCTCCGCGCTCGCTCCTGGGACGGAGTGCGGCCTTGGCACGGCAGCGCCGTAAGGAAGAGTGTGCGGCACTGCGGCAGTGACGGCGCAAGCGAAGGCGCAGGATTTCCCGGTGTTGTTGAGTGTTGGAGGAAGGGGGCAATGTTGACGTTCAGCGAAGAGTGGAGAGAAGGACGCACACAAAGTTAGGAGGCGAAGCTCTGCAGGGAAGGTGGGCGGAAGGCGACGAGTTGTGGCAGAACATATTTTACGTTTCCAGTTAGGTTCGATAAGTAGAGATATTATAGTGAAATCAACCGCGGTTTCTGAAACCCTCCAACATTACGAGTAGCAAATGAATACTAAAAATCGGGGTTTCGCATAAGGCGAATAATGCTTGGAAACACCTGTTTTGTTTTTAAAGGTATTGTTAGCAGACGACAGGGGAAGACGCCATAAGGGGAAAGAAGGGTGCTTCTATTTCCACTGCGACGACAGACAAAAAACGCAAACACCGAAATCTCTATTAAAAACTATCCCTTTACATAAAAAAAAAAAAAAAATTAGTGGTAACTGGTGTGGTTTATCGGATAAAGGAGGTCCCGCTCCTGAACGACCGTGCCCCCTATTCGCAACTACAACTAGCTCAACTCATTCCGGTAGTAAGTACAGCTCTTCGCTCGCCCTCTCGCGGACGAACGAAAAACCAAATGAGTGGGGACGGCGTAGGAGGCGGTGCAGGAACTACGGGCCTTCGTGCTGATGTTACCGCATGGTTTGGGTCGGCCTGTTTGTGCAATATGCAACGGAACTAAGCGAGCACGTTAGTATGGGAATTGTCGCGTTCCGCCTGGCAACTTAAAAAAAAAAAAAAAAAAAAATCAAAACGCTAATTATCTTAACGCACGTCAACATCTCCGTGAACAGTGATATGATCATGCCCTGACCGCTTAGTATTTGTAGTCAAAGAAATTATCTTTTCACACACCGACCAACGCCAGCGCGAGTAGTCACACGGGAAATCCCGGAGAAGCTATCCTCGTCTGTACCGCGATATTGCCGCGCGCATTGCCGAGCGAGCGCGTGGCCGAATGGTTACCGCGCTTGGCTATCACGCGGAGGCTCCGGGTTCGATTCCAGGGAGCGGACTCCTCTTCTTCTTTCAACCTCACATTCTCATAAGTTCGAGAACCTTGTCGTCTGATCGAGCGCCCAACGTTCTACGCCATATGTTCCAGAACCCCAACGCGGATAGAAAAGGTGCTCCGCGTGGCGGTCCCGAGTCAGTCTCGAGCCAGCGCTCGATCCTGTCTGCTGTTTCGCCGACTTCGACGCCTGCGACGCTATCCTTCCATTTCGTTTTGGGCACAAGTTCGCCCCATTACACGTTTAGTTCCTCCAGATATTCGCCGCCTCATCATTTGTCATTCGCGACAACATTGGGACGATCGCCCCCTCATCTACGGGGAGTGGCGAACAGCCTCTAAAATCGGCGAACATTATTAACCTTTCCCCAAGTTCACGGATCGCATTTCAAAACGTCTACCTATCCTCGGCTTAGCGTATCATCGTCTCGGTCGAATATATTTGGTGCCGAATAGCGGTCAGAGAGAAGACTACGTCTACATTACGGAAAAATGAGATGGGGGCGAGGGCGAGCATGAAGTCGCAGTCACTGTATACACCGTAGAAAAGCCCCGGTAGTCGCTGCATGTAGACCTGATGACAGAATTCTACGCGTACAGGCGCCAGGCATGTTCCAAGCACATGTGCTTTAAGTGCCTGTAAAGACAGTTTTTGTTTTGTTGTTAGACCAATCTGACCGTTAATTATATAAGGAAGAAGCACACCTTAGGGGCTCAGACAGTTTCTGCAGCCTGTCTTCTGTACGATGTAATCGCAGTATGACCGCGACTTAATATATATATATCAATATATATATATATATATATATATATATATATATATATATACATACATATATATTTCTCTTTTTTGAAGGAAACCGGAAGCTTGTGAAAGAAGGATGCGCGCCGCTCGATTGCGGTTATTTACTGCGGGGTATCAATTTCAAACTTTTCATGCGAACACCTGTATCTCCTGTATCTCGCACCTTCCCTAGAAAGGCACACAAAGAAACAAGAAAAAAACTAGCGTTCTAAGAGACATTTTCGCTTCTTACGAGAGCGAGATTATATACACCGACACGGCCCAGCGTCTTACGCCGAAATCATATTCGTGCGAGACGAAATCATATCCGTGCACAATGCCGACAACAGCGCCACCGTACGTGTATGACGTCAGAAAGTTGAGTGGGTTTATCTGTGTACGCGACGCCCGACAACGGAAGAAGGGAGCTTTTTTCTCACGAAAGGTGCCTTGCGTCTCTCCTCATCAGATTGTCTTTCTGCGTAACACATGCGTTAAGAAAAAAAAGAAGTCAGGTGCGCAATGGTTTGCAAGGGATCCTTTTCACGTAAATAAGCATCCTATACACCAATTCATGTTTACAAACAAACCGGAGCGCCCCTAGCGGACGCCACCGGCGCCGCGCATGCGCGATGGAGTGTGGGCAAGAAGATCGCCGTCGCGCATAAACAAGCCATTGAACTGCGATGTCGTCGGCGTCGGTGTTAGTCCCTTTGCCCTTTTTGACGTTCGAATTGTTGATTCTACGTCTTCTAACTGTGTCCGATAATTTAAGTGGCCTCAGCGAAATTATCGAGGCTCGTTACGCCGCAAAACTTCGCGTGAATAATGTGACATGCGGCGATTCATTCCGCGTGCATATACAATGCAATTTATTGGGGCTGTGCGTCGATTAATATTTTTAACCCGATTAATAGCCACCCTTTCATCGATTAATTAATCTATTAATCGGTCTCGTTGATTTCTATGCATAATATTTTTAAAAAGGTAATATAATGCCTTTTTGTGTGTGTGTGTGCTTTTGCTAAAAACGTGATAAACGGCGCATTATAAAATTTTGATCAATCAACCTCGATATGTATGTAGTTAAGAACAGTTCCGAAGGCACTCACCTTCACACAATATTACTTCAACTAATGAGGCAACCTAACCTTCTGCACCCCCCCCCCCCCCCCCCCCCCCCTAATCCGGAGTCACAAATCTCGCCCCTACAGTTTACTTTGGATTGAAATTTTACCTAAACTGAGTCCTTCATACCGATGTATCCCTCCGCGTCTGTGTGGTGAAAGCGTGTAATTTTTACTTTCGTTTCCTTCGTCACAATTTTCCCGATTAACCGGTTAAAAATTTCATCGAGATTAAAGCATTCATCGGTGAATGGGCTGCTTAATCGATCAATTGCCCAGCCTTACTATTCATTGTCTCGACTATGGTACAGGCATTCTGGTCGCGCAGGTATAGTCTGATAACACAAAGCCTGTGGCACGTTTTTTTTGTGTTTTTTTTTCGTGCTTCTGAGTGATTGAGTTTCTAAACATCCTTTTCCCACCATCAAACGTATTATAATGAGGTAGGAACGTAATTTTTTGTCCACTTTTGCCCACAAAAAAAGAAAAAAGAAAAAGAAATCTGGTCGTAAAATAACTTTTAGGGGTTCTTCGGCTTGCCCGTATTTTGCACCCTAAAACAGTTCTTTTTAAGCTTTCCCTCGAAGAGTTCTTCGTAAAAAGTCTATGAGGGGTTCCTTAAACCTTTTTTCTTTTATGTAAAAAAGTTTTCCAATGCCCAACTGCCTTTCTAGTGCTCCACGGGGCGATAGTTATTGAGTCGAAACCGTCTTCACGAGATGAAAGAGAGCTATAGGGGCGAAGAAAAGCGTTTAAAAGCACTATTTTTATTAGTGTACTATTTCTGTCGTCACACTTTAGTGCTGCCAGTAGAAGCTCTCTTTTTCAGAAACACGATGAGAAAGAAATGCAAAAAATCAATAACTTGGCCCAGAATGTTTCCTATTCACACGATACTTGGGGGACTGGTACAGCCGTGGCTATCGGCGCGCCGAGCCAAGTTTGAGGCAAATCAGCGACCACCAAAAAAGGAAACGATCGATTCAGCCTTATTAAACGCTTTTCTTCGAAGTCGGTTGTCCATACGGGAAACTCTGAAGATGCGAAATGACCCCCCTCTGGTAGATCTGAAACCACAGTAGCGCCTGCAAAAGAGACCATGCATCGATCTGCTTTGCCATATTGTAGGGTCATCTTTTTGAAAAGAGTCTATTAAAAGGACCCATTGCAGACGGGATGTGTGTGTGTGCACTCACCGATTCCGGGCAGGATGACGTTGAGGACGCAGAGGACCACAGCCACTGGCACCGGCAGCAGGGGGCACCGCCTTGCGGAAGCGTCCGTGCCTTTCCCGTACGCTGATGATCTCGTAGCGGGGGCATCGAGTGCCCGTTCCGGTGGTCCGAGCAGCACTCGCTCGGCACGGATACTACGATCTGGCGCACCTCGCCGCCGCTGCTGGTCATGGCTGCGCGCTAGAAGGGACGCACCGGGACGACCAGAAGACACCTGCAAGGAACCGATGCTGCAGAAAGGCCCGCACAACGGGCCGAGCAGGCGGTAGTGCCGTTAAAATGGTTGCATTATTATATCGAGGTTCACGGAGCAGGAAGTTGGAGTCACCAGCAAGAAACTTACGTAACGCACGCCCCACAGCTAGTGCGTAGCCTCCTCTATACTCGCAAAGCCCGGCAGTTCGACGGCGGAGCCACACAGAGTGCCCGGTCGCAGATTTGAAGCATGCGATGATCTGGTAGCACAGAGCATCAAAGAGCCAAGTCTCGGGGAACCTGGACGTCAGCGCACAGCTTTTGCAGCGGCGAGGACCCGAAACACACTTGTTCGCTGGGGAGAAGTGTGTTTCGGGGTCTCGCCGCAGCGGGCGCTAGTCACGTGGCTCTCCTCTTATCCGTTGTCTGCCGCTTTAACCTTTTCCACTTCGGTAGCCACTTCTCGTAGCGATCTGCCAGGCTTTGTCACTATATAAGAGGCTACGGCCAGTTAGACCTAGGCCGCATTAAAGAGCTTTCGTATCCACGCCCCCCCCCCCCCTCTCCCGCACCACTCCCTCCACCCCCCCCCCCCCCCCCCACACACACACACAGATAGACAACCTCCCCGCCCTCCCTCCGCTTCGCTTACCACAACAACCTGGCTTCTACTGCGCACGCGCGCGGCCAGCCTTGTCAGTAGTGTTCCGGACCTCGTAGTGGGTTACGTAGAGGTTTGCGGGACGTTGAATACGGTCTACGGAATCTACATATAAGGGCGTTTTAGTAGATCGTTCCGATTGCTCCGATAACGATACACGATACCCCGCCGACGTCTTTGCATGTGCATCGTATCGCTAAACTTAGAGGGAAAATTGTTCCGCTAAATTTAGCGGAAAACGTTTCCGGCTAAATTTACCGGGGAAGTTTCCCAGCTATATTTAAAGGGAAAATTGAAGTCACGTGACCTCGACACCAATTCAGTTTCCTCGCTAAAATTAGCGGGGAAAATGCCGTGGCGATTTTATGGCACGTCACCCATGAACATGCGCGTGCATGAACTCGTGTATTGTTAGCTTATGGTTTTCATATAGTTGTTTGTGTTTCGCAAGTTTTCATTATTCTGCCTTCGTGTGTGCCACGCTGAGTGATGTGCGGGAGGGGGGGGGGGGGGGGGGTCGACGCCTCGTCAGGCATTTTTAATTGCCTTTTGCGAAGGCCCCCTAGACAACTGTCTGATGTATGTTGTCTGAATAAAAATACATTGAATTGAATTGAAAATTCAGCGGCAGGATGACAGGAGGAGGAAAGGATGAGGAGGGGAGGGGAGGAGGGAAGAGAGAGGAGGAGGGGCGTGCCCTCCCCCTCCTCCTCAAGAGCTGCGCTCTAGTTTCGCAGTACAGAGCTTTGTAAACGTCTTTCATTTTTTTAACTTCTTTCTCCTTAGGCTTAAGCCCCAACTCAAAAGTGACATGGGCACCGGATGCGATGACTCCAAGCTTCCACCGTGGTTTTTAAGCGCACTGCGAAATTCGTCCTTCGCAAGCGATGGTGCCTTCGCGGCACTCAGCGGCCACGAACACGAATCCAAATCTTCGTCGATGGATTGAATGTCGACGAGCGCATTCGTCCGAGCTACGCACTGCTGCTCGTGCTCGATGCGTGAGCTAAGTTCGGCTGGCGTCCTTGGGCACCGCGGATGCATCACGGTGAAAAGGCGGAGATCTTTGGAAGAGAAGGAAACACGAAATAAACCGCGATACTTTCAAACTTTCGCGCCGAAAAGCAGCCGTTTGAAGTTCTACCCGGATTAGAAGTGATGACACCGAACTCTGGACAGCTACCGCCATCTATGAGCGACGGTGGCAAACAGAAAACTGGTTGCCGCCGTCGCTCATAGATGGCGGCGACGTTTCTTCGGAGGAAGAAGAGCGGCGATGTGCGCAGCAGCGCGAATGGTTCCGCAACCGCCGAGAGGCCGCTATCGCCCCAAGTTCCACTGCGTCGAGCGCTTCAGATTCTCTTACGAAAGAAAAGCATGTCGCTCGCCTGAAAAGCCAACACCGAAAACAGAAGCTACAGCTCCACTGCTCTTCCTTCTTCACCAGAGTGGAAAGGCTGGAATTTTTTTCTTACTTTCTTTCACGGTCGTTGCAGTGGAGTAGGGTCTCGTGACAACCGACTGAACCGGCCACCAATTACACCCTCAACTAGGGCTGGGTATCACTTGGTAGTTTTAACCCGGTTAATAATTGCCCTTTAATCGATCAATTAATCGATTAATTGGTCTCCCTTGTTTCTATGCATATTACTAAAAATTAACGTTTAGTATTATTGTTTCGCCTTCCCCTGATATGCGATAAACGGTGCAATATACAAGTTCAATTATGAATCAATCTCGATGTGTAGTTAAGAACAGTTCAAAACACATTCACATTCAGAGATTATTACTTCAGCTGCATGAAGCGAAGAGGTTCTTTGATATTCTCCGGCAAGAGCAGCCTCCTTTGGTTGTTCAATATAGTCTCTTCTGTGCCTAACGGACACTGGAACGGTCTTGAAGTGGCTTGTGGTACGCGTGTAACCTTCTGCGCTTGTCTGGAGGTAAAAATCTCGTCCCTACAAATAACGTTATTCTAAGATTTGATATAAATGTTGCCCTTCATACACGTCGTCCACGTCTGTGAGGTTAAAGCGCTTCATTTTTACTTTCTTTTGGTTCATCAAAGTTTAAGCGATTAAGCGGTTGCACTTTTTAATCGCGATTAGAGTATTATTCGATTAATCGGTTTGCCCAGCCCTAGTCTCAACAGTACTTGAATGTACAGTGGTAGAGTGAAAAAGATGTCCGCCCGTCTTTTTTCGCACAGATCACCCAAAAAAGCCAATAGACCTATCCATAGCCTCCTATATACTGACAAAGCCTGGCGGATCGCCACGAGAGGCGGCCGTCGAAATTGAAAAGGTGGAGCGGCAGACAACGGATGAGAGTAGAGGCACGTGACTGGCGCCCCGCTGCGGCGAGACGCTGAAATACACCTCTCCCGAGCGAACAAGTGTGTTTTGGGTTTTCGCCGCTGCAAAAGCTGTGCGCTGACCTACCAGGTTCCCCGAGAAATGGCTCTCTGATGCTCTGTGGCGCTACGAGATCCTCTCGCTCCAAATCTGCGACCGGGCACTCTACGGCTCCGTCGTCGAACTGCCAGGCTCTGTTAGTATAGAGGAGGCTATGACCGATCTCATCAACCGTTTAGTGCATGCGTGACGCGGTTATAACTTTAGTTCACAGGAGGCGAACGGCAGTGGACGAAAGGGTTCGTCTCGTGCTCCACGTGTGCAGAGCTCCAGCGAGGTTGTCACACGTATAAAAAGGTTGAGGTTCCCTCGATGCATTGCGACAGCGGTCGCGTAGTCAAACTGGCTGGTGAGACCGGTCTATTACGGGGAGGGGGTTCAGTGGCTGAGTGGGGCTAGGGGCTAGCCACCGTGAGGCTAGCGCACACCAGGGGCCCTAATCCGGACACTTGGCGAAAAAGTCGGAGAGGAATCTGGCGGCCGTGATTGGCCAACGCCGCACTTGACCTTGGCGCCGGCCAATCAGAGCCATCGGATTTCTCGCCGACTTTTTCGCCAAGTGTCCAGATTAGGGCTCCAGCTCGGAGCACGTGGAGCGAAAACTCGTGCTCCCAAGGATATCAGATTAAATCCCCACCCATGTCCGTTTACATCTGGATGAGCATCGTACCGGCGTGCAGTCGCGTCTCACCACACGCATGATGCATGTTAAAGACCACAGGGGCCCTAATCTGGACACTCGGCGAGAAAGACGGCGAGAAATCTAGCGGCTATGATTGGCCGGCGCCAAGGTCAAGTGCGGCGTTGACCAATCACAGCCGCCAGATTTCTCGCAAACTTTTTCGCCAAGTGTCCAGATTAGGGCTCCAGCTCGGAGCACGTGGAGCGAAAACTCGCGCTCCCAAGGATATCAGATTAAATCCCCACCCATGTCCGTTTACATCTGGATGAGCATCGTACCGGCGTGCGGTCGCGTCTCACCACACGCATGATGCATGTTAAAGACCACAGGGGCCCTAATCTGGACACTCGGCGAGAAAGACGGCGAGAAATCTAGCGGCTATGATTGGCCGGCGCCAAGGTCAAGTGCGGCGTTGACCAATCACAGCCGCCAGATTTCTCGCAAACTTTTTCGCAAAGTGTCCAGATTAGGGCTCCAGCTCGGAGCACGTGGAGCGAAAACTCGCGCTCCCAAGGATATCAGATTAAATCCCCACCCATGTCCGTTTACATCTGGATGAGCATCGTACCGGCGTGCGGTCGCGTCTCACCACACGCATGATGCATGTTAAAGACCACAGGGGCCCTAATCTGGACACTCGGCGAGAAAGACGGCGAGAAATCTAGCGGCTATGATTGGCCGGCGCCAAGGTCAAGTGCGGCGTTGACCAATCACAGCCGCCAGATTTCTCGCAAACTTTTTCGCCAAGTGTCCAGATTAGGGCTCCAGCTCGGAGCACGTGGAGCGAAAACTCGCGCTCACAAGGATATCAGACTAAATCCCCACCCATGTCCGTTTACATCTGGATGAGCATCGTACCGGCGTGCAGTCGCGTCTCACCACACGCATGATGCATGTTAAAGACCACAGGGGCCCTAATCTGGACACTCGGCGAGAAAGACGGCGAGAAATCTAGCGGCTATGATTGGCCGGCGCCAAGGTCAAGTGCGGCGTTGACCAATCACAGCCGCCAGATTTCTCGCAAACTTTTTCGCCAAGTGTCCAGATTAGGGCTCCAGCTCGGAGCACGTGGAGCGAAAACTCGCGCTCCCAAGGATATCAGATTAAATCCCCACCCATGTCCGTTTACATCTGGATGAGCATCGTACCGGCGTGCGGTCGCGTCTCACCACACGCATGATGCATGTTAAAGACCACAGGGGCCCTAATCTGGACACTCGGCGAGAAAGACGGCGAGAAATCTAGCGGCTATGATTGGCCGG